ACTGATCCATTTTACCTCATAAAGAGACAAGCCATAGATTATTTATCTCAAGATGGAGCATCAAAAAAAATTACAAACTAGAACAAATTTGTAAAGGATAACGTCCCTGTTGTCTGACTGAATTTGACCCGTATTTAAAAAACCTTACAATTATTTAATGTTTCTAGTAGTTTGGTTAAAAAGATGAACTTTGTTTTTTGAGACTATTTTACCTAATATTAATAAATAAATAAACTTTAATATTACATTAGAAAGACTTTAACTTTTTTTGAGACTTTGACTAGAGACATAAACTTTGTACAAAAGTCGATTGCTTGGGTACCTCTGTCCCATTCGTGTTTCAACCGTGAAGCAGTTGTGTTTACATGGCTGTGTTTCGTTTTGAAAGATGGGATATGGCAGTGAATTTACAGGGTATAGAGAAATAACACACGAGTTCTCAGGAATGGCAACGTATGGGGGGTATTATGTGCTAAACAGTATACTCTGTTATAACCTCTCTTTTCAAAGAGATTTCGCGCCGGCTGGTGGAAACCTCTGGTGAGCAGAAGGCTGGCCTATACTTTGGTCAACGCATTTCCATTGCTATTCAGCGTGGAAATGCAGCAAGTATCCTAGGCACCCTACCAGCTGGCAGTGATCTCAAAGAAATTTTTTAATATTAAATTTTATTTTTTATTTTTAATTACTTATCTCTAATTATATATCTAGGTTATTTATACATCACCTTGCAATATAAATCTCTCCCATATAATGAGTAATAACTATACATTCTGGTATCCCTATCTACGCACACATAGGTAAGAAATTGATTTGTTTTCGACCAACTTCATAAAGAAGAAGGTCCTTATTTCAGTTGTATTATTTTACGTTTATTACCTCATAACTCCGAACTGAAAGGATATTAATTTCAGATTAATCTTATAGAAATTTCATCATAATCGATTTAGAGTTTATTTTTTTTTTAATCCAAATAACTGGTTTTATCTTATATTATCAACAACGCGTTTTGTATTGAGATACTCCATCTTGAAATACGTCATTTTAAGGTCTCGCCAGAAAAACAGTATAAAAAAATCTTCAGTAATAAGAGATTTAGGTCGAAGGGCAGAAGGGTTGATCTGATACGCAATTGTCGAGTCATAAGTTTAGTATGTTCTAGATATTTTGCACGTGTTACCAATTTGTTTAGGACCGTTCCTGGGAAAATAAATCTTACTAGTTTTTATTTGCGACTTCGTTCGTGTAACAAAATATATATTTATGGACCGGAATAAAAAAAAAGGCATGGTCCCTCGAATTGAAAGGTAAGCTAAATTTCGTGACATTTGGTGGAGCTCTGTTAATTTTTCGAGGGGTAACACGCAAACTAACGAATACATCGATGATCGGGAATGTTCTGAAGATTGATACCTGGCTGCTGATTTTTAGCACCGTACAATCCGCCGATACCGATAGCGCAGGCGGAGTTACCATGTCATTTTCACCAATAAAAAAAAACCTTCAAGAGCATATTCCTTTTTAAAAGACCGGCAGCACACCTGCAATGCCTCTGGTGTTGCGGGTAATCACTATCATCAGATAAGTTGCATGCTCGTTTGTTACTTGTGTTATACAAATAAAAAAAACTCCGTTTCACATTTAAATTATTAAAGATAATAATAGGTATATTTCTAAGTATGACTTTTTTAATTTTTTAAAAAATTTCATAATGGTAATATCTCCAAAAATTTGTTAAACAAGAATGGCTTTATACATATGGTCCACTGGGAAAATTTGAAAACATGATGATGGTGAAAGTGAATTAGAAGAATGAACATTGCTAAGAAGGACTGACGTCAGGCCGGCGGACGATCGTAAAACTAAAAGTAGAAACCTTAGGTAATATTAATAAAAACATATTACGACGACCCCAAAATTTGTATAATTAGGATAAGGGTAGGAAGATGATGACGATGATGACACCGTTAATGTCTTATAGGTGACGATTACTACATTCCATTACCCGTGATGTAGTTCGTGTCTTATAGATGACAGTGTATATTCCATCGATTTACTATTGTATCATAGTAAAAAATACGTAGTTTTTCATTATTATTATTATTTTATTTTATTATTTATTTGCAAATGGCAAAAAAAACTGACCGTCCACCTGATGGATAGTGCATTTATAGGTGATAGTAAGTCATCGAAAAATGCAAGTATGAACAGCACCATTCTTAAAATAACAAATTTTGAATACACACAAATACAATCAAAGCTAAAATTGCAAATTCTAACAACCCTATCAATATAATAAATGAGAAAATTTATAACCACGGATGGATAGATGGATCATTGTTACTCATGCACGCAAAAACTTCTGAAGGAATTTGAATGAAATTTGGTATATATTCGCTTTTAGCAATAAAGTCGCCCATTGTTTTCATACTGTGATAATTTCTTGTAATTGTTTATATCTAGAATAAGTTTCTTGTTGTAATCTTTTGGAGGAAACAATAAAGAGTATCTATCTATATATGTATCTATATTGCTGTAGCGCTTTAAACGCTGCAGCAATATGCTGAGCACGGACCTACATCACAGAACATTGCGACACACACGCGCGCACGCGTACATTATAATTTAATTACTATCTATTTGTATATAATTATTATTTTCTTTTGTTTGTTTTGTTTTTGATTTCTTTTGTTCTTGTTTTGTGCGCTACTGTGTGGGCCGCATGCTTCTTTTGATTAAATTATTTCTTTCTTCTTTCTTCTTCATATGTAAGTGATACTCTAATTTAGCACATAGAATACTATATACATATATACTGGTTTACGCAGGTGAAGTCGTAGGATACAGCTAGTTAATAATATACGTAGTCAATAAATTTATTTATCGGAAAAATCCACAAATAAAAATCATTATACAAAAGAACTGCTCACAGGTTTGGTATTTTTATAGTGATAAATGTAGTTCTGTCATCGTTAGAATTATCCAATAATGCTGTTAATGTTACATTATCTGCCATATCCCCTGGCTTCTGTCCAATTTGTAGAAGATTATCTACCTTTAATTCACACTTGCCAAGAAACAGGGCGTCGTATATCCGATCTGAATGGATCAGGTGAAATCGAGTGATTTAGTTGAGAAACAGCAATAAGATTATTCGACACAACTTTGTAATGTTTATAATTTATTATACACTTATAATTATTTATACAGCCATCTTCTTCGAGCTGGAGATTAATTTCTTGTGAAATTTTAAACTAAATTCGTAATAAAATTAAAACAGAACTACTTTATAATAAGCTTGACTAACGCCCGCTACTTCGCATGCTTGGATTTCAAATTAGAAAAACCTATGAAAAATACCACTTTTAGATAGCGTATAAAGACCCGATTTTAAGTTAAAGCTTCTAAAACATAACTGTAAAAACTGCATTCAATTTCGTGCATTAATTTTTGCATTATGCCGAAACAAACATACAGGAAATCAGACAAATTTTCTAAAAAAAAACATATTATTTTGTTTTCTATTTTTTTTTTTTTATAATACTATAATATGATGGCAAACAAGCAAACATCTGATGTCTGATGGTAATCGGAATTATCGTAGCCTATTGACGCCTGTAACATCAAGGATATTACGTGCGCGTTAAGAAAACTTAATACGCCCTTTTTAAAGAACTCCATTTTGTAGTCCTTAGAGAAAGTCTCAGCAGCCCATAACCTGTTACAAATAGTAGGGTACAGTAACAAAACATACATGTGTTTGCGATATAAAATGACAAGTTTAGTGAAAAAACACAAGACACATTTTATGAAAATCTGACACAGAACAAACTTAAAAATAATATCTTTGTTCTAAAAAACCTAAGTGTCAACAGCCGGTATTAAAACTCCAACAGATTATTTCACAAAGTGAGTGTGCGTGGGAAGAAGCTCTTCTGAAACCGCACTGTGCATGACCATTCTGGTTCTAATATATGAGGATGAATTCCCTGTCGTTTGCTCTTATTAAGACCCCTTATATTATTTGATATTAAATGTCTCCCATGTACAGACAACGTCTAAATACAATTTTATTATATTAGTAATATTCTTGGTAGTCCATAATATAATAGTATCGCTAATCTATCAAATTTTAATTTAGAGATGTTATTATTAGAAAATCTATTTTAAATCGACCTTGTATTACTAGCTTAATAAATAAATTTGGCGAACTCCTCGTCGTGGGATAGACAATTTGTGTTTATTGTTTTTAAAAGATATAATAATATTATAACTTTATTATAAAATTAAAATTATATTTATTATAATATTAAATTAAAATTATTATAATTTAATGATATTTTTATAATATTTTTTTAGTATAATATTTTTTTATTACAATTACATACAGTGTAAAATTTAATTTATTTACACTTTTTGTCATTCTGTTTTAAACCATAAAACCATCATGCATTTATTGAAGAGTGTGAAACTGTACCAGTTATTATATTGCGACTAATTTACCGAAAATCTGTTACAATACTTTGTTACTGACAATTCATTTCCCTTAGTTATTTCGATTTCATCCGTATGTCCAGATTTTTGCCATGAAGTTTAAAATGGCTTGATGGATTCCTGCCTTTGAACTTCAGGTATTCAATATCTTTATTTCTTTATTAATATCATATATGTAAAAATTTAATTATTTTTTATTACGTTTTAGCACCTTCATGGCCCAACTAATCATCATTAAATTTGATATACATGTGGTCATGGGATGTCCTCTCTATTAATCTGTCCGATTGTGGAGTAAGGGCATACGGGTACGCAACCCCGGCCTCCATAGCTACTACAGTTACAAACCTCGTAATCGTAAATGTCCTCTCCGTAGCTGTAGTATCCCCCATTTTTCCTATAGTTCCTTTCCACTTATCACCTCCTTTCCTTATAACCTATTCCTCTCCCAATGTAACCTATTTCCTTTCCCTATCCGATGTTAAGAAGAGCAGTTCTTTTTCAAAATGATAAGAGAAATTAAAACGCAACTACCCCAGGAGGGTACCGGCACTGCCGGAGAATCCGTCCCTGAGTGCAACTCAGGCAGTCCCATCGTATCTGGGGGGGACAAATTTCTCATCGACGGCGATGCGTTATGCCACGGGTCACGTCATGTCTCCCCTGTTTCCCCAAATGGCAAAAAGAGGGCAAAGGAATGCCAAATTGCAACGATGAATGTTTGTGGAGGTATGGATAGTAAAATAGACGAAGTATGTGAGATGATGAGTGAAAGAAGAATTGATGTATTAGGAGTAAGTGAAACAAAAAAGAAAGGCTGCTCTATTACTACTTATGACCGATATACTGGGTACTGGTCCGGAGTTAATGACTCTGAAAGAAGCAGCCAAGGAGTGGGAGTTATTTTGTCAGAGAGAATGAATGCATCTGTTAAAGATTTTGAATTTGTAAGTCCTAGACTCCTCTGGATACGACTGAAAGTTGGTTTGACCCGTATTTTTCTCCTTTGCGCTTATGCCCCGGATATGTCCAAGCCACCAAAGGTCAGAGAGGATTTCTGGGATAGTATAAGAGAGATTATGACTAAATGTAAGGAGAATGAAAGAATTATTTTGATAGGTGATTTTAATGGCTGGGTGGGAATCCGTCGCGATGGATATGAAAGGAATTTAGGAATGTTTGGAGATAAAAGAGTGAATGAAAATGGTGAAAGTTTATTAGAAGTATGCCTGGAGAGAAATCTGGTGGTGACTAATACTTTGTTTAGTCACAAACTGATTCATATGTATACATGGCAAAGGCAAACTGAGAGAAGTATGATTGATTTTGTAATTGTGGATGAACGATTGAGAGCGAAAGTGAAGGATACAAGAGTCTATCGTGGTACGAATGTCGGAACTGATCACTTTTTGGTGATATCGAGAATAGGTGGCTTATTCAATAAATGGCGACATCGTCCACGTGCTCGTATGTCAGAAATAGAAAGAGTAAGAGTAGAGAGACTGACAGAAGAACAGGTTCGAAATCAGTATCAAGAAAGATTGAATGAAAGATTTAGAGAGCTACTGAAGAAAGATAACTATGAGATAGAAGAATTTTGGAAGGAATTTAAATGCGGAATCTTTGATATAGCTACTCAAGTTTGTGGTGTAAGTAAGAGGAAGAATGTTAAGATGAGAATGAATGTATGGTGGGATGGCGAAGTGAAAGAAATGGTGGCTCTAAAGAAAAAGGCATGGATGGATTTGTTAGCTACCAGAGCTAATAAGAGAATGCAAGGTAATGTAAGTGACATTGAAAAAATTGCAAAAGAGAAGTATGATGTAATGAAAAAGAAAGTTAAAGAATTAGTAAGCAAAAAGAAAGAGGAATGTAAGGATGAGTATGAAAGGAAATTCTCTAGAAATTTTCGAGCTAATCAAAAGCTTTTCTGGCATTTAGTTCGAACAGCTAGAGGTAAATGGGCGTGATAAGGGATATGGATGGTAATGTTATCACGGAACAAAAGGAAGTCTTAGATCATTGGAAGAGATATTTTGAAAGTTTATTTGAACGTGGAAGTGAAAGAAAGAATGTTGAAAATGAAATAATGGACGAAGAAGTTGACAGTGAAAGTGATATAAGTATGGATGAAGTAATGAATGCAATGAAGATTATGAAATTTGGTAAAGCAGCGGGATTCGATAGAATATCTGCCGAAATGCTTAAAGAAGGTGGAGAAATCATTGTAAACCTGCTGTGTCTGCTGTTCAATAAATGTTGGCGGTCCGGTTGTGTTCCAGGTGACTGGAGCAAAGCTGTTATTGTGCCACTATATAAAGGCAGCGGGTCACAGCAGGAGTGCAAAAATTTCCGCGGAATAAGCCTTCTTAGTGTTGTAGGCAAATTGTATGCTAGGATTTTGATTAAAAGAGTGATGAATGAGACGGAAAGTAAAATTTGGGATGTGCAAGCAGGGTTTCGAAAGGGTATGGGATGTACGGATCAAGTCTTTTCCTTAAGGTGCATAACAGAGAAAACCTTAGCTCAACATCAGAAGGTTTTCTGCGCCTTCATTGACCTTGAAAAGGCTTATGATAGAGTGGAGAGGAATGAACTGTGGTCAACACTGGCAATGTATGGGGTGAGCAGCCATTTGATACGGGCATTCAAATCTTTATATAAGGATTCAAATGCCTGTGTCAGAATAAATGGAGTCTATTCAGACTGGTTTGGCATTGAACGCGGTGTTAGACAGGGCTGTGTAGCGTCTCCTTGGCTGTTCAACCTATTTATGGACAGTTGCTTGACCGATTTGAAAGGATCTAATTGTGGATTCAGGATGAATGAGTCTCTGTTTAAGACTCTTTTATACGCCGACGACCAAGTACTTTTTGCATCGTCGGAGTATGAATTACAACAAATGGTGACTATAATGAATGAAGCGTATGCAAGAAAAGGTATGAAAATAAATGCGAAGAAGACGAAGGTCTTTGAGAGGAATGAAAGTTTAACAGCATGCCAGATTATGATAGGAGATGAAAAAGTGGAGCAAGTGAGTGAGTTTCTATATTTAGGTTCTTTGTTTACGAGGGATGGGAAGTGTGAAAGAGATATTGAGAGGAGAGTAAAAGCGGGAAACAGTGTTAACGGTGCACTGCTCTCGATTATGTCAAGTAAAAATGTATCGAGCAAAGCTCGCCTTGCTATAATTCAAGGAGTACTGACACCAACACTCATGTATGGAAGCGAATCGTGGGTATGGCAGAAGAAGCATGAAAGTAAGATAAATGCTGTACAGATGAGAGCTTTGAGAAGTATGTGTGGTATTACTTTAAAAGATAGAGTAAGAAACAGTGTGATTAGAGAGAAGTGTGGACTGAAAGACGATGTAGTGACCAAAATCGAAAAAGGAATGTTGCGTTGGTTTGGTCATTTGGAGAGGATGGATGAAAGAAGAATTACGAAAGAGATTTATCGAGCAAGAATGAATGGAGATGTCGGTAGGGGCCGCCCTAGACGGACGTATGTCGACCAAATAAGCGACGTGCTGAAGAAGGGCCAAATTAAAAGTACCCGTAACCGACGAGCGTGTATGACAAGATTGATGAATGTGGAAGAAGCGAAAGAGGTTTGTTTGAATCGAAGCATTTGGCGTTCCATTGTTTCTGCCTACCCTAATGGGAGACAGGCATGACAGATATGTATGTATGTATGTATTTTTTTAGTATAAAACACTGACTGGGAAAGAAGGCTGTATAGTATTAAGTCCGCTTTTGTACCAAACATTTCTTTGTAATGTGGTCAATAAAGAATAATAAATAAATATATAAGATTTTGGAGAATAACCGCAAAAGAACAAAATAAAACTGACATAGCCCAAAGGATAAGCAAGCTGATGTGGCAATGGGCTAGTCATATAGTTCGAAGAACCGACAACTGATGGGGAAGAAACATTCTTGAGTTGCAATCGCAGTATATGAAAGTATATATTTAAAAAAAAAGATAAAAAAATAAATTTGAACTCGATTTATGAATAACAGATTTCTAAGAAAACAAACATAAAAAAACTACTGAATTGAAAACCTCCTTTTTTGAAGTCAGTTGAAAAGCAAAAGTCGATTGCTTGGGTACCTCTGTTCCATTCGTATTTCAACCGTGAAGCAGTTGTGTTTACATGGCTGTGTTTCGGTTTGAAAGGTGGGATATGGCATGAATTTACTGGGTACAGAGGAATAACACCTGAGTCCTCAGGAATGGCAACGCATGGGGGGTATCATGGGCGAAACAGTATACTCTGTTATGTCCATGGTACTGCTCATGTCTATAAACAACGGTTACCACTTTCCATCAGGTGGGCCGTCAGCTTGTTTGTAGAAAAAAAAATATTTTCACACATCAACGTTTATTCAGCTTCGAATACGAAATTGGAAGTCATTGTTATAATACACTGTTCGATGTATTGAAATTTCCATTATTACATAATAATACAAGAAATGTTCGAACACCTGGTACGAAGCTAAATCATTAATATTTAGTTGATTTTCAATACGTGTTCGATGTATGTATTGAATGGTTGTATTCTTAAAACACGTTGATATTGACCTTGACCGTGAACCTATGTTGAATATAGTGATGTGCCGTGTCGGCCTTTTTTAATATTCGAATGTTTTAGTACTCATTAAAATAAGAATCGATTGCTTATTCGAGTCTGAGGGAGGAATTGTTAGTAATGGAGACTGAGAATCCTATTGCTAGCAATATACCCAACCAGGTCGACCTCGCGGTTTTCCCTGGAAACTATCATGGTTAATTCCTGATGAATTTATCATGATGGGCTAACTGGCCTGTTTTCATTCTCATCTATCACCCTTCACTGGTGCTCCGCCAGCGTATCCCGTTAGCGTAGGCGGGGTTACCATACCATTTTCACTCATCAAAAAAAAATTTGAGTCTGAAGATTTTATACAATATGTTAATTAAAATAACCTTTGTTTTTCTAGAATTTTTTTATATTACCAATAATTAAAAAAATAATTGCCTATGTCGGTACCAACAGCGCTACATAGTACAAAGTGTGTACATCAGAGCCGTAGCTAGACCCAAGTATAAAAGATAGGGCAAAAGACCAGAGGGAGACTTTGTACAAAAGTCGATTGCTTGGGTACCTCTGTCCCATTCGTGTTTCAACCGTGAAGCAGTTGTGTTTGCATGGCTGCGTTTCGGTTTGAAGGGTGGGATATGGCGTGAATTTACTGGGTACAGAGGAATAACACCTGAGTCCTCAGGAATGGCAACGCATGGGGGTATCATGGGCGAAACAGTATACTCTGTTATGTCCATGGTACTGCTCATGTCTATAGGCGACGGTTACCACTTTCCATCAGGTGGGCCGTCAGCTTGTTTGCCATTCTAAGTTCTATAAAAAAAAAAAAAAAAAAAAAAGAACTTTCTGGTAAGGCAAAAGCCATAATTAAGTGGTTATAAAAACTCGAGTTTATTTTTTTTAAATTTAAGCCCTTTATTTAGGGCATTGAGGCTTTTAAGGTAGGGCATTATTCCTCAATGCCCCTCCCCCCTCCTCCAGCTACGGCCATGATGTACGTATTATGTAGTGCCGTTGGTAAAGATACAATTTTTTTTTAGAACTTTACAATCTGCATATTAATCAGCTATTCAAATATATCATACGACTCGAATATTTTCAATTGATTTCTAAACCTAACTTTCAATAAAGATAATAAATCTTCTGTAATTTTTTTTGTAATTAAGGAAAAATTAATTAAGAAATAATAAACAAAATCATATAATAAATACTTATAATAAACTTGCAACTAAGTAGTAATACTCGTACTTACAATACTAGAACCCTATATTCTAATATCATGTATACGAATTCTGTATTTCATACATACATACATACATATCTGTCACGCCTGTCTCCCATTAGGGTAGGCAGAAACAATGGAACGCCAAATGCTTCGATTCACACAAACCTCTTTCGCTTCTTCCACATTCATTAATCTTTTCATACATGCTCGCCAGTTACGGGTACTTTTAATTTGGCCCTTCTTCAGCACGTCGCCTATTTGGTCGACATACGTCCGTCTAGGACGGCCCCTACCAACATCTCCATTCATTCTTGCTCCATAATTCTGTATTTCCATATCGGACATTCAAATTTTGTATATAAAATACAGTATCTGAGTATATCGAGTATATGATATGTTATTCGAGTCAGTACTCATGTCAGCTTGGTTAGGTACATCACTAGTCACTAGTTGAATATAATACCAACTAGTGGTTCCATTTGATTATACCAAATAACCCAACACAGATGATATGAAACATCGATAAATCTAAATATAAAAGAAGTCTGTTACTTTAATAGGCTTTTTTATATTTTGAACTAGTTTTAAATCCGCGACTTCGTACAGGTGGCTTCTGGAAATAGATATAAAACATACACAAATAAATTCTTGTCTCTCAGTGAGGCTAATGATCATACTTTACGCAGTGTCAATAACCTCCGACTCAAATTTCCCACTCATTCTTCTTCCTTTTATTCTAAATCTTTTACTGTTCAGGCAGTTCGTCTATGGAACTCACTACCTACCTCTATTCGGTGCACTCAAACTCTTACTAGCTTCAAAACCTCTGTTAAATCTTACTAC